AAAATATGTAGCTATGAAAGTATAAAATATTTAAAAGAAATTAAAGATACTTCTCTTGATGCGGTATCAAAGCACAAGGTAGGACATCTGGTACATGCGGCGGAAAATTTTGAATTTACTATCAACCTGAAAATTTAAGCTATTTTTCCAGAATTTGATTAAGCAAATATAGAAATTCAAAAGGAATTACTCTTCCACGTTCATATTATTTCACGACTTATTTTGTCAAATTTGATAAATATGATATTCTAATATGTCAGAGAAACTTAAAGGATGTGTAGTTAATGAAAGAACTGACCAAAACTGAGGAATTATAAAAAACGAGAGAAAAATCCTATGGAATATTGGATACAAGTCCAAAATAGTAGCTGAAAAAATTGCAGTCGAGTCTATTCTGACAAAGAAAGAATTCCAAAGTTCAAAAAAGCAATCTGATGAACTGTTTGAGGATGAATCACGAACACTTCAACCTGTTCAGATCAAAGTTTCAGCAAATTAAAACATATTAGAAAATATCAACAATCATCAGTGAGCCAGGAGTGTTTATCAAATTTCGCGATTCTGGCAACCGAAAATCAAATTATGATGCTTTGATGCACTTATTTGCAGAACAAAAGGCTTACACTAAAATTTTAATTTTCGTTACTAATTCCGTGATATTTTAATAGCAGTAAGGCAGGCAAATTACTTATGAAATAAGATGTTTGAAAAACAAGACAGAGGCATGAATACTCAGTAATAGCCCAATTAGTCGCTGAACAGTAGTAGTTCGGTCAGAGGGTCAAGTATATGTGAATGTGCTGACTGTATGAGCATTTCTGCGATTTTCCCCATGTGTAACATAGATACAAGTTAGTTTCCCTTACAAATTTTTTTCCCACAGGGCATTCCTCCTTTTCCATGCAGTGCCTAATGCTGAAACACATAGTAAATAATCAGACAAATGTCCTCAGCAGTGGGCGAGTGATTAAGACCGCTGAATACTGCTAATTTTCGACTTTGCCTGGGTTCATACCCAGATGAACGGGCTGGCTGCATGGTTTGTTTTCGTAGAGTTCCTCGTGTGTAACGTGAATACGAGCCAGTTTCTTTCAAAAAGTTCCTCTCCTCTAAGCAGATAGCTCTCCTGTCTTTGCCATATTCATATAATCAAACCAGTATGCAATAATACGGAATAGTGAGAAGGATTAGGATTGAAACCAAAAATAAGCTCATCAGAAAGATGATTTTCCTAGCAGAGGATGATTTTCTAATTATGTAACTTTAGTACATATTTTTCCTTTATTAAAAAAATGGCACATAAAGAATTTAGTATAAAATGGAACTTAAACCCTATTTCTGTATTTATTAAACAAACTAAAACTTGTCAGAGAAACTTAAAGGATGATGGGCGAGGACGGCAGTTTTAGCTTTTGCCCCACATGTCAAAGATCCTGCACCAATGGATTTACATGCCCAACTAGGATTAAACAATTTTCATATTTTCAATAAAATGTAACACATTTGCAGTAGCAATTAATCATAGAAACTTAAGTACGTGCCTCTTTTCACTAATGCACTTTTCATACACGGTACCTTATGCAAAACGTAATTATTTTTGTTTTGTGATGCCATCTATAAAGGGGAATTTCCTTAAACGCAGTTATATTTATTGCTAATTATATGCTCAGATTTTTAGTGCACTTTTGTCTCCTACTTGATAGTTTAATCTCAAAATGAGTCAATCAAGTAAAAGACAAAGCACCTATTTCATACTAACTGCGAAGAATGGACAATCTTATAAATACGTTAGTTGTAGACAGCAGGGTCAAAAAATCCTAATTATATGAATATGGCAAAGGAAAAATATGTACTAAAGTTACATAATTAGAAATCCTAATCGTTATCTTCAGACAATTCATGCCACTTTTAATACCTTTTTCCCTAAAATCTGAAGTAAGAAAATAAACCAGCTAAAACCAAACCTATTTACTCAAGTCTATTTTCACAGAGGTCATGGCAAAATGTAAAAATGCCGCTACTGTTTCCTTCAAAATTTCTCGCATGATCACAAAGAAAAGGTCTTTCCAGGATGATAAATTATTAAAAGAAACTGATGCCAATCAGTTGAGGGATTTTCTAATAAACATGAGATTACACCAGGAATAAAATATTTGCATTGTCAGATTACCCCATCTCAAGAATGCATGCAATTTCAAAAGACATGCAAACTTGGTGAAAGATAAAATCTTTGAACATTTCATCATATTATTGAATCATCATCTACGAGGAACCAGTGAGTGGTAGAATTTTCGGCAAACACTAACATGGGCATCAGCTATGATACTCCTATGCATGTAATCGGCAATAGGACTTAAGTCTGTACGGGATGATTCCTAAAATGCTTTATATCCAGGTCTAGGCCCCCCAGACATTTCATACCTAAACTAGCTGATTCACAAGGCAATGATACTAATTCATATCTTAATCACCAACAGAAAACCACCTTTTATGATGCTTCTAGAGTAAAAGCCTAACAAATCAATTCAGAGAAATCGCATTTGGAATGCTAGATCTTTCACTACACTGCCCTCCAAAAGTTAAAAAACAGCATGTTTTTCGTGTCTAATTTGAGGATGAGGCAACATAGAATGCTTCTAAAGTTCAACACAAACATGAATTACAACAAAAACTGCACTCTTGGCAGAAAAATCCAATCTTGGAGAAACAGTATTCAACAGTTTTTTTTTAGGAAAAATGGGTTCTAATAAGTAATGTGTCCACCCCATTACATTGGTGACAGCGACATTCCATGCTCTCAATTAAGTTGTCAGTCAATGAAATGGGAAGCAATGACCATACACTGAGTAATCCTTGTTCAAGCTCATCTTAAAGCAGCAACCTGCCTCCCAAGGTAATCCCAAAGGATGCTCTTATCAGATTCAGGTCTGGGGAAGATTGTTTTTACATAAACCTTCATTACCATCGTACACATGAACTGTGAATTTAAATGCTACCGACATTTTTGTAATGCTGCTGCGTAACTTTTGAAGGGCAGTGTACCTTAAGCATCCAGCCAACTCAAAATTTACTTACACTTCTGGCAAGTAACATGGCTCTTGACATATTTATGTGCAATATGTTACAACTTACGAAAAGAAACCAGCTTCCCACATTACATCCATGTATGCCAAAATCAGACTATCAGAAAATTTTAATTTCAGAAACAACTAAATGACTGACCCCAATTGTAGATTCTCAAACTTTGTTCTCTTTTAAAACAAAATGTCATCGATAACTTCATAATGTTCAGCCTAATTTCTGAATTATTAACTTATTATCTCAATTCAATAGATCCTTTTAACTCTCCAAAAAAATTTCTTATATCTAAGGTGAGAGACAGATTAATTTAAAAGTCAAACAACAGAAATCAGCATTATATTTGCAAATTTTCACAGGACTAGTTTTGATGGTTTAACCGAACCATCACCCTCAGGTATCAAAGAGCAAATGAAAACTAGTCCTGTGAAAATTTGCAAATATAACGCTGATTTTTATTATTTGACTTTTAAATTAATATTTTTTTCGGTGTTATTTTTACCCAAGATTAGAACACATTACAATTTTTTTTTAATATCTATTCTAATCCTTGATAGTGCATCTGGAACTGCAGTCTCCCTCGCTGATAGGATTTAAATTACATTCCTGCACCTTCAGTTTCCACCTATTCATTCTTGGGGTGAAATTTTTCTTACTTGCCAATTTGATGAAAGCAGCATGATCAGTGAAAATGACAATTTTGAACAAGAGGATCTGCAAAACTCTACATATTTCTAAAACAGTAGCCGGTAGGAGCACAAGTAGGATGAAATTGAACAATTACATTGAAATTGCTTTCAAAATGATGTTACTTTAGAGTTAACTTTACTTATAAGAAAATTTCAAATATTAAAAACTGATGCTTAAAACAACATTTGAATGTTCTACATCAATTTCTGTAGAGATTACAGATAAAAACTAAGAAAATGATCAAGCAGCTATTTTCTTTAGGAACAAATTTATTAGTGCTTGGTTGGTTTTAATTACCAAATCAACTGTTTACCTACTACACAGGACTCTCATGTCTGCAGATGTTTAAAGAAAATAGATTCCCACTTAAGGAAACCTTGTATGGTATATTTTAATTTCAATGTACTTTCCTATGGAATGTTTCTTCTTACAACTCTCTACCAGTATGAATTTTTAGGATCGCTTTGAATGCAAATAGAAGGTTCAGCTTACTTCATGAGAGAGAGCTAGGAATCCTGAGTAGTGCACGTTTACCTTTGAGCTAAGTCTCTCTAGAAGCTGCTAAGCTTGATAATTTATTACATGCCTTTTGATATTCGCTGGCTTGTTTAAATTAAGGGCCAACTGCATTAGATTTATGTTAGCTTCAGCTGTCTAATTTTGTTAGTTTAATTTCTTATTTTGAGTTCAAGCATGAGTGAAGGCTTTGCTGTAAGCCCAAAAAAGGGGCCAACTGTTCATCTTATTTCGAGTGAAATAAAGTGTAGTTAGCCCTTCAAGTCTAAGACTTTCGTTTTTGAACTCAGCGATAAGTTGCTTAACAGTTCACTAGGTTTTTTTTTTTTTTTGACATTTACTTTAAAGCAGAATAAGAATGGGGAACTCCACAACCTTACCTCTTACTTTATCAATCTATACTGGTAGCAATATATATTTTCTTCAACAGAAAGCTACAGAGGAGGTTGATTGTGAGGTATGAATGTTTAGATACTTGCATACAGCGAGTTTCTGGGAATGTTATTGCTCAAAGCAAACAACTCCCACAACTATCTCAATGTCTTAGTAAACAAAATATTTTATCAGAACTTTAAAATTATTTTCATTAAAGTTTAAACCTGAATGTTTCAGACAAAATGAAATATGAATTTAAAACCAAATACCATTCATGAACTTGATTTTGATGAATCATGTTTCAGTTGCTATTTTAAAACTACCACCAATGTAAAATGAAATACAAGACAATTGAAACAAATTTTTATTATATTGAAAGATCATACCAATTTTACAAGTAACAAAATGTATAAATCTATTATATCATGATAATATATACCCACTGAAATATATAATACATAGTTTACAGTTTTTGAAAATAGTGCAAATGGATTCAATTGTTCCTATATGACCTAGTCAAAAATGATGATACAGAACAAAAACTTCATGTAAAATGCAACTATGAAAAACGAAAGTGTGAGCTATCAGTCCAAGTTGTACACAACATAATATAAATAACTCTTTAACAGCTAAAGTTCATCATGTGTATCACCCTGAAAAGGAAAAAAAAATTAATTATATGTATTTTGCAAAAATAATTACATTTTATACATACAACTTGAAATTTCAAATTTTAAAAAAGCCTTGAATTTCAAAAGAGAAAAATAAAATTAGTGTTAAGCTTCTGCAAAGGAGGTGCAAAAGATTTAAATCCAATACTGAATAAAATAGCCTGAACTTACTAGTATTCTTACTTGTTAAAGAAAATGCTGATTTCTGACAACTCGTAATAAAGATGAAAAAAATTTACCTTGGTACCATAAAAATTTAAAATTCCCATACAATGAAATCAACAAAATAGTTGAACAGCGACATTCGTTTCCAAATGCATACAACATTTTGTTCACCTGGACCTAAATCAACAGGTTACAAAGTGCAGGTCTGTTTCGGACATATTATGCACATTAAGAACTTTCATAATGCAGTGCTTGATACCTGTTATGTGCACCAGAACATTTTTATCGTATGAAACATGTTTCCCACAAGTTCATTCAAAATTTAGAAAAATTAAAATTGTACACCATTTTTAAACATACTCAAATTTTCAAAACTAAGATGTCTACAACTTAATAGGTATAGGTTAAGTGCTTTCCTACACTAAATCTGCTTATTCAAAATAGTTTTGATGGAAATTCCAAATAACTGCAAAGGAAAGTTCCAGTTGAGAGTCTGGCGTAACTACTTTGTATAATTGCAAATTAATGGCAGGGAAGTTTTTTTTTTTTTTTTTATTATAGTTATGACATAATTACAATGTGGAAAATTGTAAATCTTGTAAAATTTGTAAAACGCTGCTCTGAAAATATAGCTACCGTAATAAACTGCTCTGCACTTTAAGAATCGACAGAAACAGACTGTAATTAGTATTTATTAGATTATAGCAAAATACACTAGGTCTAACCGGAGGAAGGATTGCCTTCACAAAATTTATAACCAATTATTGTAAATTTTTCATCAAAAATGAATTAAGAATATTAACTGTTTTAGAACTGACAAAAGGCAATTCATCTAAGCACTCTTACATGCATTTTCAAGACCATTGTATTATTATTTATTTACAGTCAATATCTGCTCAGGATAAATAAGTTTTAGAAATGGATTTTAAATAGAGCATGTGAGCTGATTATATTTCTGGAAGGTTATGAACAATTCTCATACCTCTGTTGATTCATCTGTACTGTCTGCAGCATCAGTTTCTTCTAGCTCATTGTCTTCTTCATCTTCATCCTCATCTGCTTTTGCTTCAGCAGATTTCCTTTCTTCTTCATCTTGCTTTTCTTTCATTTTTTTCTCCCCTTCCTACAGATAGATTTAAAACAAGAATTTGGGTTTATTCAGATTGCATTTTATATTTAGAATACATATTTAAACATGTCTCAATGGATATTAAATTGAAAGTATACTCTGGAAGATAAAGCTACAGATATTCAAACTGAAGTGATAAAAATGATATGGAAGGATGTAACAACCTACAGAATTGAATCAAATCTAGAAAAACAAGCAAGATCCAGAGAAAACCTCTTTAATTGAAAGGTGGTGATAAAAAAAGCCATCAACAGTTTATAAACTTGAGAATAACTGAAAAACTATTGATGAACAATCTTGAAAAAAATGGATATATCAAATCCTTATAAAAGTTAAAAATTTCAACATGTATGCAATTATAAATGCATCTCTTTATAAAAATAATTTTCAATATTGCATAATCAGTTTAATTTTATGCACCTGTTTACATTATTATTTTAGACATTATTAGACTCTTAATTATCTTACAAGACAGATATATTCACAATACACAAATTGCCGTTTATTAAACTCAGTCGCATAATATACTGAAATATGTTTGAAGCAGAAGATATTTTAATAAGCAGGTGATAGGAATGCTTTAATATATATTAGCGAAATACTGATATGGCTAAGTCATAGGCCTGTTCAAGTAGCACTAGAAATTTTAACTTAAAAAAAGCACTTATAATGGATAAAAACATTTAAATCAGACTGAAATCTGCAAAAATATGTATGAATCATTTTCTTTGGACCACGTAACTAGCTTAGATACATGAACCCCATTTACTTGAGTTGTGTAAATGCAATGCAAGAAATAATGTTCTGGGATACAATGTCATAAGATATTTTTACATGGTTATCCACATGCAGAAAACTGATATCTACTATTTAACACAAATTTCAAATTGCCCTTCAGAGGAACTAATAATGCAGTTCAGAAATAAATTTGCATTGAATTATAATCAATTATTGAAAAAAAAAAAGGATTCCAAATAGAGAAAATACCTTAATGGCTCCCAATGTATCTCTGCCGTGTTTCTCAGCTTCAGCTTCGTCATCAGATATAAGAACATTATCAAAAATTGTTCCAGATTTTACCTGCAAGACACAAAACTTGAATGTATCTAAAACTCACAGAAAGCTTCATTCAGAAAAATGCTTTATCATAGTCTTACCTGCCACAAATCGAATCCAATTCCACAAATTTCATCGTACTTGTACAGATTTGGATCTGGAACATAATCGGGATTATCGATTTCAGGATGAATCCAAGGTCCTTTGTAATCTGGATTATCTAATAATCTTGGTTTAAACTCTCCTTTATATGCAGGATTATTAATCTGTGGTGGTTCCCATTCACCATCCATTTCATCAAGCCAATCTTCTGGCTTAACTGCATCTGGGTCAGGAATGTATTCAGGCTGATCCCAATCCTGTAATTAAGACAATTTTTAGCTGGAAGCTGTCATGATGTAACAAAAAAATTATAATTCAAAAAGTACTTCAACATTCTGCATCTCCCAATAAGCATTTAATTTATAAAGTTATACTTTCATAATGATATAAAATTTCAATGCAACATTTCATATTCTATGTTTTCAATGCTTTTGCAATATACAATGGGCCTAAAATCACTAAAATTTCATACAGACAAAGATTATATTAAAATTAATGTGACAAACTTGGTATTTTTTCACATTTAGTTCAAAATTCTGTCAATAGCACTCCACCATAAGAAGCATATATATATATATGCATATACTATAGGAAAAACTAATCTCTTGTACTCATTTATATTCAAACTTCAATAACATAAGCTCATTAAGACACTGCTAGTGAAATAGTTCTACCTCCCATACAACTTTATGTGTTGAAACAGATGAAAACATGCTGATGCTTGGTGACTCAACTTACTGAAGAGACACTCAAAAAAACAAATTTGGCAGATCACCACTGACAGAAACTGACCTTTTACCACGAAGAAACACAAATGGAAATCAGCAGCACAATCAATGATCAGGATCAGCAACATCTAGAAATTGTAAGAACCAAAAATCTACCAAATTCATCAGCACAGCAGGCCTTCTATGACACACTGCAATTAAATTCCTACAAGTTACAATCACTACATCATTTGTAACTAAGTGATACCTATAAGAGGGAGAATTTTCAAACTGGCTTTAAAAAACATTGCTAATGTACAGTGGACTCCAAATATCCTTTAGGTAGGACATTTTAAATACAGTCAAAAGTCTTTATTCCGGACTCGTCGGGACTTCGGCGATTCCGGATTATCGATCATCAGTTTAAATCTGGTAAGATGGCATGCAGAAATTATAAAATTAAAAATATGAGACCGTAATTTATAAAATAATGAGCAATTATGATCTAAAGGGTATCAAAATTTACCAAAAAAGAAGCCTAATATTTATTTGTTTACTTTATTAAACATTTCTTTCAACGTGCGGATGCGTAAAGCATACCTCATAGCCGAAATTAGAAAATTGCAACCAGAAAACTATTTGATTTGTATTCGTGATATTTATAATGACCAGGAATTTGATTTAAATCATATCAAGACGGAGTACATCGAAATTAAATACTACATTTAGTAAGGAATTATAAGCTGAATAAAATAAAAACATCTGCCCTGAAGATAACGATAGTGTTGACAGATCAACTTCCAGTTCATTGCGCGCCGCGACGTCCCCCCCCCGCGCGCGCAGAGCAGCGTGAAATTGATAAACAGATTTCGGAACGGTTAGATAAACAAAGGATATGCTTTTATCCATTTTTTGTAGCAATTCGTTTTTTGTTTGATGGACATCGAAATATACTTTCGTTTTCTAGATCCTTTGGGAGCTCCAGCATCGGAAATTCTATTTGACATAATCGAAAGTTCAAGCTTACTTTTAGAAAATTGCTCTTACAGTCTGCAAAAAATAAGCCGGATCCAATTCGAAGATTAAGGAACAACGCAATTATCAACATTAACTGAAATAGATAATTTTAGCTTATACCGTCCGTTATAAATTAAACGCGCACGCGAAAACGTATTCTGCACTTGCGCAGACGCATATGAGCAGTCGTAAATGTCTTGCGCGCACGAGTAAAACGCCTATGCGCATGCGTCAATGCGGCACATGCGCAGAAAGATTTTAGCTTTGAGGTCCGGATTATAGATCATTCCGGATTACGGGTGTCCGAATTAATGACTTTTGACTGTATAGGGAATATATGGAATAATATAGTATATTGAATATAGGGAAAGCACACACCCCACAACTCACTGTGCAATACTTTCATGATATTATCACCTGCCTATTAAAGTCACGAGCAACAAAAGCTGGAAAAGGTACTTACAAGCTAGCATTACCAAAGAATATGGCAGCCAACTGCTTCTCCTTATAATAGTAGTTTTTCATAACAGCAGAAACCATAAAAAACAACAGTGGAGCCAGAGCCACCTCACATTAGCTCGAAGCTAAATCGAAATACCAGTCTTCAGTGATCTAAACTATTCAGCGACTGGTGGGTTCCTTCATGGCTAGAATTGGTAATCAAGGATTGTCTGTTAGTTTGGAGGTTATATGAAGTATACATTAAGTAGCCTACCATCCTCAACAGATGCTGTTTACCACAAAGTCATTTCTGTAACCCAGTTATGTTCCTAACATTAGTAAATGATACAATAGCATAAAATAACAATAAAGCACTTGAGTTTTTTTATCTTTCAAACCTGAGAAAAAGATCATGAAATTTAGATAACTGTAATTAAAAATCTTGAATTTATAAGGATAACAATTTTGTAAAATTACACCCAAATTAAAAACTGAATCAATTTCATTTCGCAAAAGAACTTTTAAATACTTGACTTTAACATTAATTACCTAGCCATCTATCCCTGAAGAAAATTTTAGTTTTGCCTCCCAAAAAAATAAAAATGTTCTTTGAAAATCTTTAGTTATATTTTATGAACTCCAGAAAAATACGTTTTTAATGGCTTTTCTGACTGCTTTCATAAATTCACTTTATTATTTGATCAAATACAAATTACATGAGTATTATGATTTTTGGAGATAAGCTATATAACTTACCACCATTAAAAATCCAACTATTGCAATAAGTTATTTTTAAAAAAACCAGCAACTTTAAATAAATTTTGGATTTATGACATTTCATACTTTTGAACACATTGTAGAAATTTAAGAATAGAGAGGAATTAATTGAAAAATGAATAAAAGGTAATACATTGCAGATCAAGAATTCTATTACAAAAGCCACACAAAATAAAAGGAAAAAAAAAAAAAACATTTATATTATAGTACACTTTATAAAAAGGATACCATAATAGAACTATTTTTGAAACCTTTCTGAAATTCAATCACATTATTTAAAACATACTCGAATGGCAAAAAGTTCCTTTTATCCTAACTTTAATAGCTGACCATGGCATTACACCTTTTACCACATGCAATGTGGATTTAAACATTATGTAGATAACAGCTCTTATAAAATAACTTTGCATGTCATTAAAAGGTTCCATACCAGCACAGTTTAGAAAACTTACCTGATAACTTGAATACATAACTTGTGTTTTGATCTTTTAAGTGTTACAACATTACTGTATGATGAAGTACAAAAGCAGGATATGATGCACAAGTTGTACCTTCTATGAATAAATTGTAGGATCTATGAAAATAAAAATTATGTGTGCTAACATGTGTTGTTGCTGATATTACAATAAAATTCTACACAGTCTACTTTCTTGGATAAAATAAAATTTATGAACATGAAATTAATAAGACTTAGAAAACCTGTACTCTAAGTCATAACCATCTATAGCTTAAGTCTTATTACATTTAAAATTGGACAATAACACTTTCTCAATTTATTAATGCATGTAATTACAATAATTTCTTGTCAACTCCAGCACACAAGTTACGTATCCATTCTCTGCATTTATGGCACCCAAATGTTCTTTGTGGTCTTCCTCACAAATATGACAGGGAGACAAACGTAATAGGAAACAATATAGTTTAATAGGGAGCAATTTGTTTTCCCGAAAGAGGTGCAGCTGACATATTACGCCTAATATTTAAAAGGTACAACTTGTGCAACCTTAACCTAAGTACATGTTACTTACAACTTGTAATTTTTTTTTTTTCCCTGCTCAGCTATTTAATAAAATTATAAACACATACACATGCCAAAAAATTATGTGAGCTTTAGAAAAAAAGAATTCATGCCAAGGAGGATGATGAACCAAAATGTTAATACTTCTACATTATAAAAATATTAGGTGAATCTATTGGTTTAAAAAAAAGTTAAAAACTGCAAACTTTGACAGGATGACAATAAAATTACAACAGAAGCTGTTATTCTTAAAATATAGAGCAAAAATGGACAAACATTTAAAAGAAATACCACTTTAAAACATAAAAATACCAAGTTTCAAACTTCCTAAAAACTATGCAAGTCATTATAGCAAATAATGATTGCTTGGCATTCATTCAAGATTTATTTTGCATGAAATTAAAATCTGCAGAAATATTAATATACATACAGACTGTTAGTGCTCATAATCAGCATTACTAGAGTAACTGCCTTTAATAACAATGTTAACTCTCCACATAAGAGCAAATTGGGCCAATGTTCATACTTGTGATGCTTTCTGCATTAGCTACTACAAATTATATTGGGAAAAGTGCAGAATAACCCACTGCTTGGCGTGTTTTTTAGAATTGCACAAAAATGGCATTGCGCACTCCCTTGATCCATGTACACATCGATCTATTTTCACTTAAAGAGTCAAAGAAAATTGACAATAATCCAATTCTTACTCTTGTCAAAAGCGCCAAACAAATAAATAGGCGATTTTGCACTTTATTATATTTACCATTAATGAAATTTTTAATATTTTAAATATAGAAGAACGCACAATTTAAAAAATAGCAAATTTAGTAATTGTAATACAAACTGAATCCGACAGCACATAAAAATGTACAACTTATATATGGAAAACACTGTCGGAAATTCCAACACTGTGCACAAACATTTAATTCTTCCGATACAAATAGTATATGCAAGCTTGCATTTAAAATTACCTCCTCCACAGTCCCACTACACTCTTTATTGCAGGGTTTCGCAACTGGCAGTTCGCAAACAATATTTGGTGGTCCTTCCAATTATTCCACAAATTTTGTATAAATAAATATTATGCCAATAGTTCAAATTGTTAACCTTACTGGTCCCTGATGAAACACTGAAACATTACCTATGAGTAAATTCGGTTGAGAAGCACTGCTTTAAGATATGATTACACTTGTTATAAAGCAGCAATACGAATAACCAATTATGACACCAAAAGTATTTTACTCTACCTATAACTGGTCATTTGATTGACCTTCATAAAACAGACAAATCTAAATATGCTAAACAAAATCTCAATACAAAAAGCCTATTTTAATCTCGCAAAATTATTTTAAAGATTAGAGCCATTAAAACTAGCATACTTCCGGTTTCTTATCATCAGGATCTTCAATTTTTGGATTATCAACCCAATCATCTGGCTTCTTAGCTTCTGGATCCTTAATTTTTCGTGGTGGGAGGAAATCCCAATCTTTTTCCAATTCCCCAGATTCAACCTTCTCATTATCAATTTTAACAACATAAGTGTTATCAGGCTTGACTATTAAAGTATATAAGTGCGTATATACATCATCCTGAAAAAATAATTGAAAATTAAACTCTTGCAATATATTGCAACTTAAATTATAAATCAGAAATAAAAACAAGCATCATACCTTACAACGAATTTCTTTGTTTATTAGTAAATTCTTTCCTTTGTAATTGAAAATAACATGTACTTTCTTAGTTCCTGGACCACAGATATCAGGACCTACAGTATTTACCATATTACTATTAATACTGATCAAAATTCAGTCAACATTTCAGTTGAATCAAAATGCAACTTAAAACCCTGATAATGACGAGGAAATCTAATTACAAAATTTCTGCAAGTTATCCAACACATGTTATGGAAAAAGTAATTTAGGCCAAAAACTCTTACAAAACATCAATACTTAGTACTTGAAAACAAAAATCACACATTAAAGAAACATTTAAGACTTCATACATATGCCTTTATATGAAAGGTAAGAATCTTAATGACCATAATGAAAAAAGAAAAAAACCTGGGAGCAGAAATGATTTGAATAAATTATAGGTAGTAACCTATGAAAACAATATTCAATATATTATAATACTTAACAGATTTAAAATTGCTTGAAAATTCCCAGGAACAATTAGTTAACAGTAAATAAGGAATAATTTCTTGAAATGGTTACGTTTCACAATTCAGTCGCTCAGAATTTCAGTATACTTTACATTATATACTTTTCAGTATACAACAAATTTTGAAAAGTAACATTTAAATAGCTAAGAGGAAAAACATTAAATTTCACTCTTTAAAGTAACATTAATATGCATACAATTTTATTTTTCCAAAAGGTGCTACAACGATTACACATTTAATATCTAAATTTTTGTGGCAGTATAAAGGTTCCTAACTTTTTTGTTTGAATTTTCAGATATAATTGCATCTGGTTTATAAATATCCATTTTCTCCAACTACATTTCTAACTTAATCACCTTAAATAAGCAACCAAAGTTCTTGCCATTCCAATATCTGTCAGTATTTTTAATATCTTAAATAATATTTACTTCATAAAATTCTTTTATGTTTGAAATCTGACTTGTTCAAAATTATTTTACTGTCACAAACACTGCATACATTTAAACTTTTAAAAACTTTCAAAATGAAATTAAATATTACATGCATTTATTTAAAGGCTGCAGAAGCTATAATTTCATTTCTTTATTAATTTCAACATAGAAGATATTTCCAGGAAACTAAAATTATATATGACAGCATTAAAAATATGAAATCGGTTTTAAATGCTGCATTAATAATTAATCACCCTTTCCAGAGTCTGCCGATGTATTTTTCACTTTTGAATTGTGAAATAAAAATACTATCAAGAGAGATTAAGAGCTTAAAGACATATTTATTTTTAATCTCATTCTTTAAAACTGAACATTTAAAATACATCATGAAAAGGAACTTAAGGAAAACGTCGGAAAAGCAAGGAATATTTTCATATCTGGCCAAAATGGAAAATTTCAAAAGACTAAGAAAATTTCCATAAATGTTAAGCCTACATACAAATCATGTTTTACAGTTTGTACTAACCTTTCTTAAAATAATTCAAATGCAGGATATTAGGATTACACACAACTATACTTATGTATTAGTGCAGTTTGGTGATATTTTACAGAAGAAAAGAATGACTTAATTGAAAAAACACAAATATTTATTCAGAAAAACACACAATAAACCTATTACAAATGCAGTTCAGTTTTTTCTTACCAAAAATATTATGGTGATAATTTTAAGAATGGATTCAAGGCAACTGTTTCCTTTAACCTTTTGAAGACATGATGGCCATTATAGTGGCCTGTTTGAAAGGACGGGATTGTCCACTTTAGTGGCCATATCTCTTTTCTCCATTTTCCAGGCTGAAAGAATGGGGTGAAATGTCAAAATTGATGTCCCTGAGGTTTTAACCACTTATCTCTTTCAAAGATCTTTGCGTTAAGAATCCTGTTTTTCCAATTTTCCCCTTTTACTTCTTGTAGCTACAGAATTCTCAATAACTGCGTTTGTAAATCGTAAACAGAGCCTTGCGTTGCTTTAGAATATTGCACATTTTCTTGTTTTCTTTTTAATTATTTTGACATTTTCTAGCAATATGCCGAAAAGGAAAAGAAGGTCTGACTAAAGAAGAAATACAAAATCTTCTTCAAGAGCTTGATGATGAAATATATACATATATCTATGTTTAATACATGTATTCATAAATCCACATGCAAACACATATATATATAAATGCATATGTGTGCCTGTGTGTGTATATGTACGTGTCTGTATATACGTTATTTGCATTTAAGGGTACACATGCTTTCCGCTTTATGTGCATATCTGCACTTATACGATATTATAGCAGTGCAGACATACATACTACATGGATAAGTAGGTATATATATACATTTCCATAAACAAATTCCCACGTACTTATGTCCATGTACAAGCACTTTTTCTTACATTTTTACCAGTTCATTCTGGACCCTCGGGACCGGCAGTGAACGTTCCGTGTGCCGGCACTGGAATTTTCGTTTGGCTGCCGTCGGTCCTCCAGGACCGACAGTATAGTCTAAATGAAATGTGATCTAATGTATAGTCTAAATATAAGTATAGTCTAATGTATAGTCTAAATATAAGTATAGTCTAAATGAAATGAAAGTTTAAAAATATAGTCTAAATGAAATGTGATCAAATTTAGTTTTAATGAAATGTACTGAAACATTCTAAACAAAAATACGGTTTAGCTCACTGCCGGCTGAACGGAAAGGACAGCCAATTCGGCGCCGCGCTCAACGTGTTAACAGTTCTGTCTTTATTTCTATATATATATCTGTTTATGCTGAAGTGACCTTCACACATGGAAGTTTACTGTGATGGTACTGTTATTCAGACAAACCACAAGGATATAAATTTTACGTCAAAGAAACAACAGTAGTTTTACTATTTCAGTCTGAAACCTGGAAATTGTAAATACACTAAAACTAGTCAATCAGTTTGAAAGGTCATCTGTAGCCATTAGATTCCACATATACTAATAATACACATATGCCATTAGATTCCACATATACACCTTTTAAAATAAAAGGTACCTCCGATCAGTGTCTCAATTTCACGGTCAAATAATTTTGAAGTAAGATGTGCAGAATGCATTAGAGTAGCATTTGTGAAATTTCACTGTCTGTTAAGCTCCGAGAATACAAACAGGATGTAAAAGCTCTCAAATAATATACAAATCATTGTTCTAAGACAACACATGTTCCCCATCTGAATTTCTGAACCTTGACCTTTTAAGTGATTGAATGCCTGTGTCATTCATTAGATATATATCTCAGCAATTACATTCAAGGACAAATTCCTGGGAGCACCTTAGGCACTCTGTTATGAAATAATTTCGACATGACAGCATAATGACCGAGGTGTTAATGAAACCGATGAATAGCTGCCAAATTTTCAATAAAAAAAAAGAGAAATACAGTTAATTCATCTGTGTCAGTAGATTTCACATGACCTGACAATGAAGATTTTTTGAGTAACTGCAAGTAAAAATACTCTAATATATCGTAGAATTTAAATTCCACCATATAAGATATGCCACCATGGTTGATGTTAAAGCTGCTACAAAGACAGTCTGTTCAAACAAACTGGTTTAAACATTAGAGGAAATAAAAAAATTCACATGGAACGACGACTTCAAACAGGAGAGAATTTTGCTGACAGGGTACCTGAAATTATCTTCAAATTTCTCTTAATGTGCTAAATTATATAGCATAATACAATATTGAAGACAACAACTAATTATTGTGTAACATTTATCCCACAGTTTTTTCAGACACTATGCATAACAAACAATTTTCCCTTCAATTTGAAAACTCTTTGCACTAAGAAATTACCTAAATTTTGATACCCGAGTGAACTTGTTCCCTTAGTGAGGCTAGGAATTTACGTTTTGAGTTATGGGTTTGCATACAAAATAATTTGACATTTTTAATGACTTAAATTCAGTATTATTAATACTTGAGAAATATATCACTAATTTTCAATAAACAGTATAAAACGATACAATAATTTTTCAAATTTTTAAAACTAAAATATTCTAAAAAAAAGTTTTTGAGCGTGTTTTATTATGCATTAATTTTGGAAAAGAACTGAATTTTAATTAGTAGCACTTATGTAGTTGGACACTACATAACAGACTAACAGTCTACAATAAAATTATTTTTAATTAAACCACTTATATTCTAATTTGTTGAAGTTCCCTCCTTAAATAGGTAGTTTGCCGACATTTTGGTAAGGCGATAAAGGTTAGCTAGGACTTTAGCAGTGTATATGGATAAAGTCAAGAGTGTGCGCAATGCCATTTTTGTGCAATTCTGAGATGTTTTTTTAAGTGAAAATAGGTCGACGTGTACAAGGATACCGTGTATGTAGAATTCTTAAAAATGCGGCAAGCAGTTTGCGATTCTGCACTTTCTCCCAATTTCGCACCTAATTTTCGTTATGATTAAGCACTTTTGTTCCATAGAAGTTCTAGCATAAGCGTAATTCGGCTAGCAGATTGTTGGAAAAAAATGTTGAGTAAAAAAAATGCCTTTACTTTGTGAAAACAAAATGGCGTCCAAACAAAAACTAGCAGGTTGCTGTAGCAGGATTGGTCGGCAAATTTTGGCGAAAAAAATCGCCAAGTTACCATAATCCAAAGATTAACCAAAAATATCTACAGAAACAGAAGTTCAGATAGAACACAAAACTCTTATGAAAAAGGCAATACTGTTTGTTAAAATGCAGAACTTTTTTGCATTATTGCCAGATTTTGAATATTAGATTTCTACCAAGGTGGATTGATTGCACTAATACACAAGTACCAATGAAACTGAATTACAGTTCAAGGCTTTTAAATAAGAACTTCAAGAATAAAACAATACCATGAAAAAGCTATAAATTTACAGAATTAAGAAAAATGCAATCAGTAGCTCAACTTCAAAATCAGTTGTGCATCTTGATCTCTGATTATATAATTGACATGCAACAAAAGGTAAAACATGAAAAAGTTAAAAGGACATATCAGCAAAAAAAATTAGATTTAATGTTTTGACATAATGCAAATAATTAAGATTTCATATTTAAGCCAAACAAAGCATATTTATCAATATATGAACATAATAAAATAATTTTAGTTGCTATTCTTTAGATTAGCAAATTCCAAAATTGAATGTACTTGCTTATTATTTTTGGGGGCTGAACTTCACTGATTAAATACTTCTGTCTTAAATGACATATTAAAATATTACCAAGGTCAAATATTTTAAATTTGTTAAGAAGTCTATTTAGTTCTAAACATAAGTTTCATTAATATTTTAAAACGGCTATTCAGTAAATAATGACTTACCGTATTTGACGGCATATAAGACGCACTTTTTTTGCTACATTTGGTCTCAAAAAAGTTATATGCGTCTTATATGTGAAGGTAATAGCATTCAATAATTATTTATTTGGCTTTTATGAAACGTGAGAACTAAAAGAAACCACGCTATTGAAACTTTTTTTGTGTGTGGCTGTCTAAATAAGGGTGAGTCTTATATGCCGTCAAATACGGTAATAAATACACTGGCAATTTTAAAGGTTAAAATACTCAAAACAATACTTACCAAACATAATAAGATAAGGCGTTTCTCCATGAAGATCTTTTGGATCAAGGCTACAGTCAAATACTTTTATGTAACCACCTCCACAGTCGATATTTTGCTCGTGCTTAACAGTAAATTGTATGACTAAAGTTTTGTCTTGATTACTAAATGGCTCAAATTTCGTCGACAAACCATAAAACCTTGCATCTTGAGAAGTCTGAATACCTGAAATAATACATTCTTAGATTTGGCTTTATAAATAGGTTTATACAGTACTGTGCACATATTACTAAAAAGCAATTTGATAGAATACTTTATCAACACTTAAAATCAAAAATATATATTTTCTCATCTGGTCATAGGTTAATTGAATATGGCAAAGCTTGCACAGGAAAGCTTAGGAAAGATGCCTTTGTGGAAGACTTGGGGAAAATATTACACATGGAAAACCATAAAAACCAACTACACAGCCAGCATGTTTGCCCAATACTGCACGTGGATTGAACTCCCAATATTTAGCAGTTTTAAATACACAGCCACTGGTGGGGCCCTCGTCAGTATAAAAGATACTTTACAGATAAAAAAGGAAGCCTATTAAAGAATACAAAACATTTATGTTTACAAATCATTAGAAGAGAAAATTTCAGGTGATATTTCACTGCAAACACTTTATATTTTCAAACTTACTTATATTAAGAGAGATAATCAGGAAATAAAAGCAAATGGATGATTAAATATGTAATACAGTAAAGATGACTATAATCATATGGCAGCTAGTCATTTATCGGCAAGTTTATGCTATTAAAAATAAGAGATGTCATTAAGAAGTTACTGCTTGTAAAAATCCTAGACATCGGTTAATGTGAATACCTAAAAAGGAGCTTTATTTTCAAAGAATTACATAAATTAAACTGAATATTAAAACTCAAATTTAAAAATTTCAAAAATGAAAAATACTTTCAATGAAGATTTATTCAATATTCCTATCATATCACATCTTGTTTTTGCCATCTATTATGCTGCCTTTATTAATATTAATGATACTCATGATCAAAATCTTTATCCTTGTTCAAAACATGCAGTCACATGAATTTATACAAGCACATATTAGTCCATTAAGACAGTCATTTAAGAATAGATGCTACTTTCTTTTTTCTGTAAACAGTTTTTCACAGCTGGTGTAAAGAAAAAGAAAATTTATTTTCTAAACAAAACAATCCCTGCATAGACCAAAAGAAATTAACCCCCCCAATTTGTTTTACATCTATTCTATTCATAATTAACTTCTACTGTATAAATACATCAAATTTAAAAAGAACTGTTTTTGCAAAAATTCTTCTCTATGTCAATTTAAAAACAAAACTGGGTACAACAATTATTTGAGTATAAAGAACATTACCTCAGTATTTCTGTAAAAGCTTTTTCCTTAAATTACATGAAACTTACATTTCTCACCTTTTATAATGAAAAAAAAAAAAAAAAAAAAAAAAAACTTAACTTTTTACATCCTCTTCTTACATCTACAGCAATTAGAAAAACTAATTAAATTTCCTGAAAACACCCATATTAAAGTTTATTTTTTTTATCCTTTTATACTGACTAACTGACATTTTCTATTGTTTATTCATCATTATTTAAAATAATTGTGCCATCCAAAATAAATGATATCAAATGTTTACTGTATATTTCATCTATAGCATCATATAAATAAAATCATTATTTATAGATTTCTGATTACAAATCTTTGTATCTGCTTTCACAGTCTTTTGCCACCCAAGTCTATCAGCAAAAAAAATACAATGCAGAAATGGCACCAAAAAATTTTTTTTTTGCTTAAGTGAACAATATGCATAGTTATAACCTGATAATCTACGATTAGATATCACCCTACAGCCAAACACAACATTAACTGCAAAAACCTGGAATGTTACTTGGTTATAACGAAAGTTTTCTAGCAAAAAAACAAAGTTAGGAAACAAAACATGAAAGCAGTACCTTCAGAACCATGCAGTCATCCAGAATACAACAAACCATTGGTCCCATTTCATATAACAATGCGAGACACCCATTATTTTTCAATACTTTATTTTGAAAGATGCAAAATTAATTTTTATCCAGAGAGATGCAAATGATGACTATTTTACAACTTCATTGGAATAAATTATGTCCAATGATCATGTCTAAAGTAGCAGAGATTTCCATAACTTTAAAGAATGCTCTGCATCCAATAAATGAGATTTAATACAACATTTGAAAGAAGTTAAAGCTAGTAAGGGATGATACAAATTTGGTTAGGAATGCACGATTCTATACTAACCACTTTATCCTGACAATGACATAATAATCTACCATGCACAGAAAAAGAAGCTGTTCAGTTACGAAAATGAAGTTACACAGCCTAAGAAGCTAGCTAGTGAAAAATTATAAACTTAAACATTTATTAGCCAATGCTACAAAAACTTAGCTTCCAAAGCTCAGCCAAGTCTAGTAAAACTGACATGCATAATATGTCAGAGTTAAAAATTCACAACTGCTTCTTTCTCCTTCAATTTATGATGAACGAAGCCAGAAAACTTTTCAGTTGCATTCCATGATCAGCCTTGCCTATTAATGCTTAAGAAGTAAAGATTACCTTACCAGTTAGAAATGCACTATTAAAATAATATATCAAAACTGAGAAATAGACTAGACGAGTAAGTTACATCCAGTTCTCGGGGAAAAAAATATTAGAGTTTGTACAGTCAAAAGTCGTTAATTCGGACACCCATAATCCGGAATGATCTATAATCCGGACCTCAAAGCTAAAAACTTTCTGCGCATGCGCCACGTTGGCACATGTGCACAGGTGTTTTACGCGTGCATGTAAGACCTTGACTACTGCGCATATGCGTGTGCGCAAGTGCAGAATACGTTCACCTGCGCGTTTAATGTATAACGGACGGTGTAAGCTAAAATTATCTAATTATCTATTTCAGTTAATGTTAATGATTGCGTTGTTCCTTAATCTTCGAATTGGATCCCGCTTATTATTTTTTGCAGACTGTAAGAGCAATTTTATAAAAGTAAACTTGAACTTTTGATTTTGTCAAATAGAATTTCCGATGCTTAAAACTTCCAAAGGATCTACAAAACAAAAGTATGTTTCGATGTCCAACAAACAAAAAGTGGAATTGCTGCAAAAAATGGATAAAGACATGAAGAATGTGACAGAGAGGGTAGTGAAAACGAAAAAATTTCGATTGACAAGTTAGTCGGTATTCTCGGCACAGCAATTAACGGGACTTGAACAGCGGAACTTTGTAACTGAACAAGAAATTATGTCTGTTTATAAAATTAAAGAGAAAGTATTATCACATAAAATGAAGCAACTTAAACAACTTACATTGAAAGAAATGTTTAATAAAGTAAATAAATAAATATTAAGCTTTTTTTTTGTAAATTTTGATACCCTTTAGATCATAATTGTTCTTTTATTTCATAAATTACAGTTTCATATTTTTAATTTTAGAATTTCTGCATGCCATCTTACGAGATTTAGACTGATGATCTATAATCCGGAAAAATCGATAATCCGGAATCGCCGAAGTCCCGACGAGTCCGGATTAACGACTTTTGACTGTATTAGTTTGATTGGACTAATAATCAAATATACAATGATCAGTTTTAAATATAACTTCTAATAATGCTTTTTTAAAATTTAAATGTAAAATTACTAATGTATTTATTACTTTACCTTTACTTATTTCATGATCACCATAAAATTTCCCCGCAGTAAGAACAAATGTGCCCCATTCTTTACCAGGATGTTTTGAGGGGGTCCACCTTTCTTCCCATTTATCTGCAAAAATTGCATATAAATTAACATTAGGCACATACACTCAATAACAAATTTTACTAGCGCAATATATTATATCTAATATATAACAAATAAATTTTATATATTTAGGCTGATCATATATTGTTTTAAATGGTACAGTTCCATTTTATTCCTGTATCATCCATATTACTTAAACAAAAATGTTAAATTATCTGTTTTTACAAATATTTAATACAGGCTTAAATGATATATCATTATCACCTAAAAACATTGATCAGTTACAAAATCATGGAACTAAGGATTGACAAAAAATAAAAAACTGGGCTGTCTTATGACATTCGGGACACAAGGCTACTAACAATTAAATAATTTTATAAATTTTCACATTTTTCTGTACATTGGGCTAACAAGCACACAGGTGTTTTCTTTATGCATGATCAAAGTTTCATGCTGCAAAATTTTTTACCTATACTAAATGCATATTTCGATTAATCTTCCATAATCAGGGTGAGCGCCAAACTGGGCAAGAGTTTTTGATTTGGTTGTGGTTTCCGGCTGTATGTTTTCCTGTGGCAAACCTAGAGTTTTACATCGGTGGTGCAAGTTCAGTGTAGCCAAAATATTCTTTTTTAATTTAATTTTGAAATACGGCATTTTTAAAAGTTTTACTGTTTAATCTTTACAGGAGGTTAAGCTGTTGTTGGTGGGAGAATGTTGGATTTCAGATGACGTGAAGTTTATAATTTATGAAAGTTTTCATTTAATTTTATTAGTTAATGTTTTCCTGGTTGGTTAATTATTTTTTTAGTTTTGTTTCTTGCATGTGGCAACCGAAAGATGTGGAATGTTTAAAGTTTTGAACAAAAGTTGTTTAGTATGTTGAATTCCATGAGATAGTAACTTGTATATTTTAGTTAAGTTTATGATGCATCCATTGTTAGTGAATTTGAATATATTTTCTTGGTTGAAAATTTTGGAGTTCGAGGAAAGCGTTATACAATTTATTATTTTATTATTCCTTGTACTATTTTATTATGAATTACATAGATAGGGCCATGTTTTTACTTACAAAGCTGGATGGACTGTTTTACTCATCTAGTATTTTATCATCTCATTTTACTATTCTGCTTGTGTTTAAAAATCACATCTTAGTGCTCTAATTGCCGCCAAAAAAATCTGCCAAATTTTGAAGGCCAAAATAGTTTAGCACCAACTTACCCAGGTTATGGAAGATCAGCCCATAATTTGCACTATCAAATAGTTCGCATGGGATACAACAAAACTTTTCCTGAATCAAACCAGTTTCGTTCTTGTTGGCTCCTTTTTTGTAAATGTCTCAACTATTGTTTTCTTATTACTGTTGACCTCTCTTGTTTGTATAGCTGATCCTATATAATTTCTATAGAAAATGTTTCACTCTTTTCAAAAAAATTTATTAAGTAGGCATTGAATTCCAGTAAAACTTTTCCCCTTGCCTTCACAATATAATAAACCGTATTTTAAAATTAACACTTAGGAAGTAAAGATTACCTCACTGAGTAGAAATTTAAACTGCAATATTAAAATAATACATCAAAACTGAGAAATAGATTTGAAGAGTAGGTTACATCCAGTTCTCAAGAAAGGAAAGTCTGCTACAGCAGCAGTTTCTTGATATGACTAGACGACATCTCTATTTTGATTGGCCAGGAAGTAACCCACCATGAATGCCATTCTAGAACGAGTCTAAGCAAAGTAAGGATGCAATGCAGATGACACAGGCAACTACATGAGACACCAAATTAACCACTTGTGCTAAAAAGATGTGCCACCCATGTCGAGATGCTTTTGTCTGAAACCGCGAGCGACGTGAACACCACGTCAATAGGCATTTATCGCAAAAATTAAAATAACGTGGTGCACACGTTGCCTAACAACGAGATTGTTTATTTCTTGAGTTACAGCTCTGGAGTGCACTTGCAGACATGGAGTGACGTAAAATGAGACACTTTACCACTTGTTATATTGTAGCGCACGGCACCGCAACCGTGAAGTATGGTCGGAGCACAAGTGGTTAAAAATTTGCCGTACATATTTTTACAGGACTGGCTTAATGCCATCATATGAAAAAACTCGTTCTGTTATTTTTTACAATTTTGATTATAACAAATAAAAGTTTGATAACAATGAAAATAAGGGATCACATATTTAAATATATAAATTATATAATATACTGTATATAAATAGTCTGAATAAATGTTAACTGTCAAAAGTAGATAATTTAGTACATACATATATGCATCTAATTACTCATTTTGTTTTATATAATTTTGATTAGAACAACGAAAATTTGATTATAATAACGAAAATTGTCAATCAATACCCTTCTCAGGATTTAAAGTATCACTAATCACAGAGTATGAAACTCTTGTGATTAGTTCTTCACATAATTTAAGTCATGAAATTACTTCAAGTAAGTGATTTATTTGATAAGTCGTCCAATTTGAGTGCGGGAAGAAAACAACTGCATTATATAAAGAAATTTTTGAACTTCCGATTCTTTTAATTTTTTATGGCCCCGCGTATAAGTCAACCCCCCCCCCACTTTGAAGTATTTTTTTTGTCCAAAATATCTTTACTTATATGAGGTAGTTAGGATGGCCCCGAGAGGAAAGGCATTGTAATAACATCTACTAACAACTGTACTGTACCCACATAAGTATTTAGCAGACCTTTATTGTTACAACCCTTGGTGGCAGACAAACTTTGTTACAAAAAGTGTTTTAATTCAAACAGTAATGTTTTAACATTTGCAAATTAAAAAAAAATTATGAAAACCATGAAATTTAACTTTTTATATGACCCTCCAATCCCCATACTCTTATTCAGGAAGATTTTCTGGTAAAAGTTTACAATTGGGTGCCCCTTGTTTATTGGCAATTCTTTTTTGACGCCAAGACCGGAGCCAGAAAGGCACAATTTCAAGATGGCCGCTACACAAAACCAAAATAAGAAGTCAAAGAATTGCACAAGATCTGTGTCCATGTACACATCGATCTGTTTTTACTTAAAAAAACATAGAATTACACAAACTAGGCATTGCGGACTGCCTTAAATATCTCCATGCACACATCAATCTATTTTCATTTAAATAAAATCGGGAAGCTAAAACAAGTTAAAACTATCGTGGTAACCAGAAGTGAGGTTTCATCGCCAAAATTTTTAAAAAAATTGTCGCCTATCGAAGGGGCACCCAATTCTACACTAGACAGGGTTGCCACTCAAACAGGAGAATGAAATTCCCCGACTTTTCCAGGTATGTTTCGAGAAAATTCCAGTCTATCTGCGTAATGTACGTTGGCTGTGCTAAGAAGCAAATTAATTATGGTATTACTTGTACTGTGTAGCAAATTCACTTTGTCTGATAATTTTGTTTACTTTTCCGCTTAAAAAACTTAATAAAATTTAAGATATATAACATTGGATAACAACTGTACGTTTTATTTAATTATTACTCATGATCATCCCCAGTTCAACACGAGGCTAATCCGGTTCTTATAAATCACAACCCAATGCTAAAAGTTAGGTTAGATTTTAGGTAAATTTAATTTTGTAGGTGTATTCTTAAAGCACCGTAACACTTGAAAACACAATAAATTATATAGGAGTTGTTTTCTCCACTGAAGATTGAAATTAAATCTGCCCAATTTGAATAAAAATAAGCTTTTTTTCAGACATTCTGCAGCTAACGAAAGAAAGATCTATTTAATTATATTTTTTACTAATTGAGGTATTTTATATTTCGCAGCATACATAAGGAAAAAATATGTTCATTAAATTTCGTATGTCATCATACTGCTGAATAATTTCAGGATTATGCCAGAAAATTTCCTGAAATTTGAAATATTTACTAATGATAATAATTAGAGGGAAGAGCACATTAATGATTAATAAAAAAAAGATATTCTTAAAATTGATTATTTTTTTTATTTTACGCAAATGACAAGGTTTTATTAAAAGAAAAGAAAAAAAAAATGATTTTGGGTAAATCCTAGCTAAGCCTGCATGATACGCATTCGCATGATTTTGAAGATTGTCGCAAGAACCAAATGACCCTTTACGCTCAGCATCATGTCTACAAATCCCCTGTACCTACATGGAGATTATTCTCACCAAGAACGTCTCGTTAAAGCGAGGGAAAATTTGCCAAGGGATTTGACACGAACGCCAAGAATTTCCCTCTCCGCGATGTTTCCTGTAATTGATAAACAGGTTAAGAATAAACGTTCTTTGAACACAAAAGAAACTCGAAAATCCGTTTTTAAATATTGCGAAATCCAAGAAAAACGTTTATCAAAGAAGTTTTTCTTGGATTTTTCGCAATAATTTTAGAGAGTTTTTTCCTTTATAATCTCTTTTTTTTAATTCTAACTCATTGTACCGTATCTATGATTAAACCCATTTTGTTTTATACGAAAACTGTACTTTCCGTTGTTCATGCACGCACATGCGATTCTCGAGGTTACTGGAAACCAAAGTTCGGAAATTGCTTTGGCCTTTCTAAAAAGACATCAAATGGAGCTGCAAATGGCTCTATCCAGCTGCCCGCATGACGCGATACACATTCGCCAAAACGTGATCTCGTCCGACGCGGCGCAAACTCCCTTTTTGTCAGATCTTGTATAATTCCTGACTTTTCCAGATTTTGGCTAAACACTTAAATTCCCTGAATTTTTTGGTCAGTTTCCGAATTCCCTGACTTTTCCGGTTTTCCAGGTAGCGTGGCAATCCTGACAAGAGCTGATTTTCTATTCAAAGAATGAAACACAGAAAGTGATTCTTGTATAATGAAAAACAGACCAATGCATTTAATTTCAAAATTCAGAATATGTGATGGCATTTCCAACTTGCCTCACGGTGTTTACTAATAAATTACTTTAACTAGATTTGTCCTTCTCCTCTCTGATGCTATTCCAATTATATTCTTTGTTTTATCAATTCATCAAATATATTTTTTAATTTATAAATTTGTTACATACTGCTTGCCAAAAGAATTTTCACATAATAAAAGGGTGTGAATA